GGTTGGGGCTAGAAGCATCAAACCGCCCATTCATTTGGGTAGTCAGAAACAGCAATGAATCCTTTGAGGAATGGTTGTTGAAGGAAGGTTTTGAGGAGAGGACCAAAGGAAGAGGTCTCCTGATTCGGGGCTGGGCGCCTCAGGTATTAATCTTGTCTCACTCAGCCGTAGGTGGCTTCTTGACACATTGCGGGTGGAATTCAACAGTGGAAGGGGTTTGTGCGGGTGTGCCCATGATAACATGGCCTATGTTTGCAGAGCAGTTCTGTAATGAGAAGCTGATTGTACAAATTCTCAAGATTGGAGTCAGGATTGGTGTTGATGTCCAATGTAAGTGGGGAGAGGAAGAGAAGGTTGGGGTGCTGGTAAGGAGAGAACAAGTGGAGAAGGCCATAGTCCAGTTGATGGATGGGGGAGATGAGGCAGAAGATAGAAGACAGAGAGCAACAGAGCTCATGGAGATGGCAAAGAGAGCAGTGGAAGAGGGGGGATCTTCTCATACCAACATCACACTGTTGATCCAAGATATCATGAATCAAGTAGTCATTCAGAACAAACAGCCACTGTAATTGTATCCTCACACACAGTTACAAGGTCATTAAAATTTAAACTAGTGCGTAACAGATTATGAATCCAAGTTCGATTAAACCGAATAATGGAAACATACAGGTACTCTATAAAGTGTGAGAGGCTTCAATTCTTCAATATAGGTAAAAAATTATGGTATAAAGTGTGAGAGGCTTCAATTTTTCAAGTCTCTGAATAAGTTTTTACTCTCTAATATGTCCCCTCATTTGAAAGTTCATTTCGCTCAAAGCATTGACAAGCATAGACGAATTCATACCTTGTGCTGAAATTTAATTAATTATAACGAAGATGACAATAATTAAACATTAGACCACTTGGTCAAACACAAAGAATCATTCAACTTAGGCTTCATTTGGAAGATGCAAATGCAGTAAATCCCGGTTTAGGGTAAATTTGCAGTCTCTGATTCACTTTTAACTGCGTTTGGCAACATTACATTTATGTATTGACAAATGACAGATCAATGCATACCGACATTGATAGTAAGATATAAAAGAAGATCAATAAAAAAGAAATAAATTTGCATTCAAGTGGGATTTTGATAAAAAAGGATAAATTTTTTAAACTACCCTTATGATTTAGTTAATTAACTAAGTGTATCCTTACTGTTTGAAAATTGACTAACACTACCCCTATTTCTGACAATTGACTAATACTTCCTTACGGTTAACATTCCATGTAAACCATTCAAATGTAAATCAGGTGACTGTTATAATTTTCAAAAATACCCAATATGCCCTTGTTATAACTTCCAACCCTATTCGAACTCAGCCCTCCGCCACACCTCTCGACCACTAGACTACGTTTCTCCCCCATTTCCAATCATCTGCTCAGGTTCATCCGCCAAAAACATCAACTCCATCGTCCCCTGTTTTGTAGGACTACTGGAAATTCCCAATTCCCTCGATGTGGACTCCACACTGATCTAGTGCTCCCGTGCCACAGGTGCATACCTTTCACCCTCCGCCGACATTTTTCCATCTTACATCATCAATTCCACCAAGTTTCACCCGCTGCTCCTCCATCGCTTCAACATATCGCCTCGTGGTTCTTCACCATCCCCTCTGTTGTCGATAGAAAACCTGGAGACCCCACCTTCGAGGTCGTCGCCGATCTTCGCCACGCCGGTTAAAGTTGAAGAGGATGTGCTAGTGATGGACGGAATTCTGGTCGGTTCAGTGCCGAGTGGGCGTACGAGGTCGGGGCCATATTCTGGCTCCTCGTCCTGAACCTTCCTTTTTATTTCTTGAATCTTCCATTCGAGCCACCCTTTCATCCTTTAACGAATCGGGCGGTTGTAGAATCTGCAAGGGATGATGAGCTGCTATGCTTTTGATAGGAGTCTTTCTCTAGTGGCTGTGGCCCAACTATCCTTCATATAATCCATATGAACAGGTGCTTCTGTTTTTCTTATTTCTGTTCAACCCATCGACCACATTGCAACCTGCCAACACTGCTTGCATAACTCACCGCCATGAAACCAAAACTAAGAAACACAAAGTGAATGGAATTGAAGTGCAACAGATTATGACTTGTCGATTGGATGAATGGATGGAGCGCAACTGTCACTGGTGCTGTCTGAGGTGTCTGAACTTAATAACTTATTGCCTTTTCAAGCATGCAGTTCAGCCGCTCCGTGGTGGACTGATAGGCCATAGCAGTCTCTAATATTTGCTGCATTAAAAGGTTGACTAAGAGAGGATACTTAAATAGGGGAGGTGAGATTGATGGGGGATGAAGAAGAAGAAGAAGAAGAAGGGCGGGAAGAAGAGAGAGAGGAAGAGGGAAAAGGGAAGAAATCGGAAGGGGGTGCTGCCGCTTTGCGTCCTCTATGTCGAGTGGAAGTTGCAGCGACCGCCAATGACAGAGAAGGTAAAGATTTCGGTTCTTTCCCATCAGATTAGGGTACCCAATCAGAGAATGAGTTTCCGATTCTAGGTGGAGTTTTTGCACCCGACACAGTCATTTAAGGTGAGGTTTTTGCAACCACGGGTGCAAAACTTGGTGGCGGCGACGACGTAAGTCTACATGCACCGGAGGTTAGTAGTGGGGGGCTTGAGGTGAATTTCTACTTCCATGGCGTGCTGCTCTTCTCATAGGTCTCTCTGGTTTCGGCAGGAAAGAATGGAATATCCCAAGCCATTAGAAAATTGGAATATAGACATAATCCAAATTGAATGGTTTTGGCGCAGGTATGCCCCGTTGTATAAGATTCCAATACAATGGTTCTTATGTGACGACGATCCGAGACCTTTACCGGTGAGCAATGCAAAGACGAAAATTTGAAGAAAAACAAAGGGTAAAATAGTCTTTTTCTTCTTTTTTTAACAAATATTAAGGGACATTAACATTATTAACGGTAAGGGAAGTAATTTAAGAATTCATATTTGCATCACGGCTAAAAGTTTGGTGTCAATGTAAAACTAAACCAATTTTACAATTTAGACTATACATATTTGCATCTTTTCCAAAACACAGCCTTATATTAGAAGAGGCTCTTGATATTTATCACAAAGGAAAATTGCAGCCATATTGTCAGCAAGCAGCATTCAACTTCTGATATCTGACTAGTTGAAAGAAACCTTTCATCTCAGAGGATAATGCCAAAGAGGTTGTTCGAGCAACATTGTCTAAATTTGCTAAGCAGTCCACAGCCTAATTCACGAGTACTTTTGTTAAGTTGTCCTTAAAATTACATAGGAAGTCATGCTTATATCATCAGAGGTACTGTTCAATTACCTCAATTGGCCAATCCACTCACCAACCAAGCCTAGGACAATTTGCAGCAAAAAAAAAAAAAAAATAGGTTTAGGACAAAAAATCTTTCCCTCTAGAGCCAAAACTTCACTTAAAAAAAAGGAAAAAAACAGATCCACCTCAAACGCATGAATGGGCGAGTGGAACACACCAGAAGCATATCCTAATTTATGCTAAAAAGATAAAAATACAAACAAGGGACTGAAACAACATGACAGAATGCTCCCAAACAGCCAAATATTGCTCATCAGGTTCGGTCATAGTCAATCAAATTGCAGTTTAGTATAGGCATCCTTAGGTCTTATGTTTTCATTGCCCATAAACGAGGCAGTTTAGTATAGGCATCCTTAGGTCTTATGTTTTCATTGCCTATAAACAAGGTGTGTACAATGGGACTGAGTGGAGTAATGTGCCGTGCAGAATGCTCCCAAACAGCAAAGATTTCCCCATTGGATTCAGTAAAAGTCATTAAATTGTAGGTTTCGTTTGCTTTTTGGTAAGTTATTTATCCAGGTAAATGCATTTATCCAGGTAAGTATTTTCCAGGAAAGACTTATCCGGGGTAAGTGCATTTACCCATGTAAATAAGGCAATGGCCATTTTTGTCTCCCAAGTGGGAAAGTTATTTACCCACCTAAGAGATGGGACCGGATCTACTAGGCACAACATAAGTAAGCACGTTAAATGAGCACTTGATAGTATTTTGACAAGTGTTAAAAGTGGGTTTAATCTTTTTCAAGGGTGGAGTGACGATATATTAAGGGACAGGTGAAAAAAAATTTCAAGTATATTGAACGTGCTTAAAATGTTGTGCCTGATCCAAACTGATAGGAGATGGGTATCAAGGAAAATAAACTTTCCATGGTCTCCACATAAATCTTAAGAAAAGAATATGGATTTCTTAGTCAATGGGAATTTTTGATTCCCATTCCCATTTATCAACTTTCTCCCCTCTCAAAATCTAGAAGAACACCCCTATAGTTTAGCCAAGGTTTCCCCATTGGATTCAGCAGAAGTCATTGAATTGTAGTGTAGTGTGAGCATCCTTAGGTCTTTTCTCTTCATCATGACGCAGCAAGATCTATAAACAAGGTGTGTACAATGGGATCGAGTGGAGTGACATGTCGTGCACAGAATGCTCCCAAACAGCCAAGATTTCCCCATTACAAGGCGGCAAGATCTGCTATAAACAAGGCATGTACAGTGGGCTACATGATCCAATGAGCCAGATTTACTACAAACAAGACGTATACGATGAGCTACATAAAACCAAATGAAGATTAGGCAGAGTCATCCTCCATACAGGCATGTTAATTCTTTGATTGAGTTATATGTAGCTTGTTGTACACGCACAGTTTGTAGCAGATTCCGCAATGGAGTGCAGTGCGGATACGCGCTTGGCTTGGACAGTCAAGCTCGAAGCGGACCCCAAACACACAGGAGTGAAGTAACAGCCCAAAAAGAACTGTCAGGAAGCTTGTACTAGAAAAAAGAAAAGAAAAAACATATAGAGCCTTCCCTACTCAACATCTGTTGGTTATTGACCCATCTGAATTGGCCCCCAGAGATGCTCCCGTCCGGCGTTCCTTATCATTCAAAGTTTCTTGGAAGCTTCAATAGCAGATTAATTAAAGCTCAGTCCAAGTCTAATGTCTTTGAAGTTTGAAGAATGAAGATGAGAGTCGAATGGAGCTTCAATCATATTCATATGAGGTGGGCTGATTGATGGGTTAGTCCGTCCTGCACGGCTGCACGTACAAAGGCAAGCTCTATCCTATATAAGACCTGAGAGCTGATGTGAGTCTTGGCACAACGAATATCCGGTGACAATGGCTGCAGAACATCACCAGCTCCACTTTGTACTTGTTCCCCTAATGGCCCAAGGCCACATGATCCCYATGATCGACATGGCYAGACTTCTTGCTCAGAGGGGTGTCATTGTCACCTTCGTTACTACACTTGTCAATGCTTCTCGCTTCAAAACARCCAYCGATCGTGCAGTAGAATCTGGTCTTCCAATCCGTCTTCTCCCACTCCGTTTTCCCTGCCTAGAAGCTGGCCTACCAGAGGGATGTGAGAATCTGGACAGCATCCCTTCAGCTGACTTGATCAGAAATTTTTTGGATGCAGCTAGCATGCTGCAACAACCACTGGAACAGTATCTGCAACAACAACAACAACCTMCGCCCAACTGCATAATTGCAGATAGTTACCTCCCATGGACATC